GGCTCACAGGCTGGAGTGCAGCGGTGTGATCACGGCCCATGGGCTGGAGTGCAGTGGTGTGATCACAGGCTGGAGTGCAGCGGTGTGATCACGGCCCATGGGCTGGAGTGCAGTGGTGTGATCACAGCCTACAGGCTTGAGTGCAGTGGTGTGATCACAGCCCACGGGCTGGAGTGCAGTGGTGTGATCACAGGCTGGAGTGCAGTGGTGTGATCACAGCCCACAGGCTGGAGTGCAGCGGTGTGATCACGGCTCACTGCAGCCTTGACCTTCTGGTCTCAGGTGAGCTTTTCAACTCAGCCTCCCAAGTAGCTGGGATTACAGGGGTGCATCACCATGCCGGGACAATTTGTAAATTTTCTGTGCAGATTGGGTCTCCTGACACCCTTTAATGGTGATCGGAGTGTTAGTTTTCCTTTTTGGTTTCTTTATGAATGTATGGATTTTAATATATTTGATTTGTTTTAGCCGACTGCAGTGATTTTGCTTTTTGATGCCCAAATTGTCTCATCCTTGGCCAGGAATGGCCTCTTCAGCTTTCAAGATTCTGACATAGCTCCAGCAGCTGTTCATGTGTTTATGGTTTTCTTTCTTCCCCCCTGGCATGTGCATCTAGACATGAATATGCATGGCTTTCTTGCTTTCTCTTGTGTCCAGGCTCCTTTGTACATTTTCTGCTCTGAACCTGGAATCTATCAAGCCTGGTTCTTTTAGTGGGACGTGGTACTTTGAGATGATAATATGGGTGCTCATTCCTACTACACTGGCTAGTTATTTCTAGACATTTTCAGTAGCACGATCCAGAGAATACTCTTTTTAATGAAAAAATATATTTTCATACTGTTATTTCCAATTCCAATTTAGGAGTACCGGCTTTTACCTTACAGCTGTGGTATTGTAATTCTTTTCTCTTAGGCATAAACATCTTGTTTTTTAACCATTGACTAAATTTCTTGTTTGCTTTTTCTCATAAAATATGTACGGTTGCTTCACAATAACAAAACCCAGACAGAGCTATTGCTACCAGTATGACTACGACAAACAGCGTGAGGCTTCCCTGCTACTCTTCCTGTCCCAGGGCTCATCCCACAGTGATGTGCACTCCTCCCACGCATGGAGGCTCAGGGAACGATTCCTCTCTGGGTAATCCGCCACCTGGATGTACAGCTGCATCCACTTGCTTTGTTTTGCTTTCTTGGGATTCTCTTTTTAATATCTTTCTTTCATTTTGTTTTTAATTATGCAAAAAATTACATGGTTCCGAAGCCAAACCTAGAAAACAAGGCCCAGACAGAGGAGTCCGGCTTGGACCCCTTTCTCCTCCATCTTGGTTCACCCCTTACCACCCATGACCTTTTCATGGCTTGGGGCTCATCTTTGCAAAGCAGGAGCAGTGCACGCACACGCTCCTTTCCTGTGGGTGGGAGGCGCCCTCTGCGGTGCCCGCGCTGCCGCGTTCTCCCCCTGGAGGCCGACGTGGTCTCTTCATGCAGCCGCAGAGGAAAGGGGATGTGGGCGCTTCCCATTTGCTGGTGATCTTTGGGCAGCCTTCCTAGAAGTAGGATTGTCTGGTCACAAAGTGAATTTATGTTGAAATCAGACTTTGTAAGGCCTGTGTTATGTTGCGTCCTGTGGACACGCCCTCCTTTATTTAACCTTGGCGTTACTGTTACTATTGTTTGCTCTTAGACACACTGCGGCGGTGAACACGTTTGTGACTGCGTCTATGATGATTTCCTTCCGATGGGTCCCGGAAGCAGAAACATGGGCTCCTGGGCATGGCCCCTTTGGCCTCAGCATCAGTCATGGGGGCTGTTTTCTCCCTGCCGCTTCCCTGCCCATGGCCCAGTTCTCTTGCCTCCATGTTTTCCCCGGCCCATCTGATCCAGTGATTTACGCCTCCTCAGGGGCTCTCTGAAGCTCCTGGAGTAAATATGCAGCCCCCTTGCTATGCCCACCAGGCCCTCCAGACCTGCCTGGCACCTGCTCACGGCCCAACCTCACCTGTCACTTCTCTCCACCTCCGCCCCACTGAGCCACCTCGGAAACAGTCCCAGCGCCCAGCACCCTTGCAGAACAGAGCCAGCCCGAGCACGCTTTACTTCATTTCGTTTTCTGTCTCCTCTTCTGGGCTGCAAGCTGCTTGTGGGCAGGGGCCTCATGAAGCTGCACATCCCCAGCACCCAGCCCTGGGCTTGTAGCCGGAGATGCTCAGGTGGGTGTGTCGCATGGGTGGTATATTAGGCCATTCTCACGTTGCCGCAAGAAATACCTGAGGCTGGGTAATTTATAAAGAAAAGAGGTGTGACTGGCTCATGGTTCTGCGGCTGTACAGGAAGCATGGCTGGGATGGCCTCAGGAAGCTTCCGGTCACGACAGGGTGAACGGGGAGCAGGCAGAGCAAGTGGGGGAGGAGGTGCCGCACACTATTAAACAAGCAGATCCCGCAAGAACGCCCTGAGGGCAGCACAAGGGGGTGAGGCTAAACCATTCATGAAGGATCCACCCCTGTGATCCGGTCACCTCCCACCAGGCGCCACCTGGAACACTGAGGATTACAATTCAACGTGACATGTGGGTGGGGACGCAGATTTGAAACACCTCAGGTGGAGACCTCCAAGGTGGCAGTGTTCCTGTTTCACGGATGAGCGTGTGGGCCCTGGGAGGGAAGCGTCCCTGCTGCCCACTGTGGCTGGCCTCGGTGCCTTTTCCCGTGCCATCTCTGCCCCCCGTGCCCTCCAGGCGTCCTTCAACGCCATCTCAGGGAGATGCCCCTCCCCTGGGCAGCACGCCCCTTCTGCGCTCCCTGCCCTGGGCACCTGGCAGTGGCAGCTCACTAGCTGTGTGTGAGGCCCTCCTGGGTGCTTTCTTTCTCTCCCCACCATGGCCTCCGCCGCCCACACGCAACGGCCTGGGAGCGGCTGGGTTGCCAGAAGCAAGGATTGGCTCCGCTTCTTCCTCTGTCGCCTGTTCTCCTTCCCCTCCCTCATTCTCCTTCCTCCCCTCAGCCTCCTCTCCCGCCCTTCCCTCTTTCCTCCTTCTCCTCTTCCTTTCCTCTATCTCTTCCTCCTCCTCCTGCCCCTTCTTGGGTCACACCTGACCTTGTGCTGCACTTCCTCCCCACGTGCTGCTGCCCCAGCCTGCCGGCCGAGACCTCCCTGCCCCGCTCCATGTTGTCTGTGGAGTGCCCTCCTTCCTGCTCCTCGGGAGAGCTGGTCGGCCTCGCTCCCAGGGCAGCACAGCCTAAGCCTCCAGAGAAGTGTGTGGAGAGAATGGACGCATTTCTTGGGAAATGTTTCCACTCCGGGCGTTCTCTCGCCTGTGTGAACCAGACCCAGCACGCCGCTGGGCTGTGCCATCTCTCCTTGCCTGTTGTGCTTCCTTGGCAGGGGCTATACAAAGCGGACCAGCGGTTCGGGCCAGGCGTGGAGACCTACCCTGATGGCAGCCAGGATGTGGGGCTGTGGTTCCGGGGGCACCTCATCAAGCTGTGCACCCAGAGCCCCGGTGGCTTCTCCCTCCTCAGCTACCCCGAGTTCTCCAGCTTCCTCACCCACAGCCCTGCAAGGGTCAGCCTCTCAGAAGAGGAGGAGGCAGAGCAGGGACTGCAGGAGGGACAGGACCCCTTTTTCTATGAGTACAAGCGGCTTCTTCTCCACGACAACCTCACACTGCCTCCAGAGATGTACGTTTACTCCACTGACAGTGAGCACCTGCCCATGACCAGCTCTTTGCGCCAAGAGCTGGACGCCCGCATCTTCCTCAGTGACATCCCTCCGTTCGTTGAGGATGGAGAACCCTGGTTCATAACCAACGAGACCCCTTTGTTGGTCAAAATCCAGAAGCAAACTTACAAGTTCAGGTGACCAGTCTCTGCTGCTCTTCCCCCAGAGCCCTGCCGCGTAGGCCACTCCTAGGCAGGCTCCCAAGGCCCTCTGCCGGCTGCCACTCAGGCTGCTCCCTCAGGGTGACCTAACTCGCCCCTCCCATTAAGTGATTGATACGGGCGGTAATGAAGTGGGAGGGGAAGACCCTGCCGGCTGGCGCTGGGAGGCAGGTGGGCCCTGGGGCCCTGGGGCCCTGGACATCTGTGCAGGGGAATGGGGGTCCCAGGATCCCACCCACCCACGCTTGGGGATAGGAGTGATCAGGAGGTGGCCTGGCGAATGTGTAGCCAGGGGAGTCCCGAGGACTCCCAGGTGGAACCTGGGGGGATGTGGCTGGGGAGAAGCTCCTGAGTCCATGGAGCTGAGGGTGAGTCCTGGCCCTGGGCTCTGTGCATTTCCCCTTGTGCAGGTCGTAGCTAATGACCTGCCCCACCATTGCATCGGTGCTTAGGTGCTGTATGGGCCAAGTCTCCTGGCAGGATTGACATGGAGAGCAGGATTTTTGTTATTACTGTATGAGGTGGTGAGGATCTGCCTGAGAGCCAAGGGTGGGAGCACAGGGCAGAGCGGTGTTGGGGCCCAGCCAGGCCTTTGATTTGTCCAATGATGGTGTGAAAAGATTCTCTGCTCTGTTGGTCTTTGAAAAACACTCTTACTCTACCCAGAGCCTGGAGAAAGTCAGCCACGACCCAAGGAGAAGTGTTGAATGCCTTTTTTTTTTTTTTGAAACAGGGTCTTGCTCTGTTGCCCAGGCTGGAGTGCAGTGGCATGATCTCGGCTCACTGCAACCTCCACCCCCCGGGTTCAAGCAGTTCTTCTGCCTCAGCCTCCTGAGTAGCTGGGACTACAGGCGTGCGCCACTGCACCAGCTCATTTTTGTATTTTTAGTAGAGATGGGGTTTCACCATGTTGGTAGGATGTTCTCAATCTCCTGACCTCTTGATCTGCCCACCTCGGCCTCCCAAAGTGCTGGGATTATAGGCATGAGCCACTGTACCCTGCTGAAGTATTTAATTTTTTAGTGAAAATATTCAAGAACACTTTAATTTCTTTCCGAAACATTGACCTCAGATGTCAATAAACTGTTTCAGAATGCGTATTTTCTGAGAATAAGTGGCTGCCTTTCACTCATCAATCAATCCCCCCACCCACTCAGTCACCCAGCCACTTGGTATCCATTCATCCATCAGTGCACCCATGCAACACCCATTCATCCAGGCATCCGTTCATCTACCCACACATCTACTCATCCACCCACCCACCCACCCACCCACCTATCCATCCATCAGTGCACCCATGCAACACTCATTCATCCAGGCGTCTGTTCATCTACTCACACATCTACTCATCCACCCACCCACCCACCCACCTATCCATCCA